GGGGCACGCGTAATACCTGTTTTCTCAAGCTCACAAGTTCGAAAATTTCTCACTCGACAAGTTTTTGTTTTATTCTGAGCATTTCATTTGGAATATTTGATTAATCCTGTGTAACACTCTATCGCCTTGGGGCTTTTTTGACAACAGGATTGGTTAAAAAATAGACTGTCCTCTTGATTGGTCGCTATTACCTCCGGACTGCAATCTGTCCGGCATGCTTCGTTGCAGGTACACATTGGAACCAGACGGATCAGAACTGAAGTAAATTCAATTTTGATCAAATTTAATACTCACCTATCAGGTAGAAGTGTAGTTATTTATGAGGAGACAATGTGGATACTAAAATTCACATCATTGTCTAACCATCCCCTCACACTTCTGTTCGCCGCGGTTACGCACACCATCACCGCCGATCAGTCAGATTGCATTTACTCGTGTTGACTGATCACTTGTTCGTATCTCGTTTGTGAGTATGTACGCACGATTGACAGTGTAGGGGGTGTCTGGTTTGAATGTTTCAACGCTTGTGTTTGCAATTTGTTCTCACCCAGTCCATTCTGTGTGTTCTGTATCTTGTTTCCTCCCGTCCGTCTATCAATCAGTTTGCAAATGCGATTCTGGAATCAGCTGATCACCAATCTGGATTACATTTTCGACATTCCACTGGTCCGAAACACCGCATTCGAACGCTCGTTTCATGCGTTCAGTCAGGCCATGACATACGCATGCGCGCCGACCCGCGAGAAAGTGACTAGCGAGTCCAGTTGCGTGAAAGTTCTGTTTGCCCAAGACATACAGGTAAGTCAAATTACATTGTCTATGGATCTGGGGCGAGAGGCACGACGCATTTGTAGTATTTCACACACGTCTGCGTTCGGATCATGTACCAAACAAATCACGGTACAATAATCTTTATAAAAAGAAGACACTTCCATGATTTGCTTGTTGGAAGACTACTGTCACGTCGCCTAGGCCAAGGCAGATAAAGTNTTTCTTAAGAAATTAACAACCGGAGTCTTTAACTAGCCAAAGCCCGACCTGCAAGGCAGCGGGGCGGTGTGTGAAAACCGCAATCATCATCAGATGTATGATCCGATGAACTGGACACCGGAATTTGGAGAGAGTCAAATGACCAAGGTGCCCGATACGACTCGATGCCCAGTTGAGCTGCTGACCACCGCCACAAACAGAAAGGTGTGTGTGGGTGTTTGGTTTGTACGCCTCGTGGTTGGTTTCGAATCCGGATTTCCAGCCAATTCCCCTTGGTGAACTGCCAAGGGTTTACCGACCCGGTTATAGCCCCAGATGTCGGCTTTTCGTGCTCTCACTTTGGTGCGAAAACACCCAGGTCATATAAAGGTAATGAGTAGGGCTCACTCTGTAGGGGCTTTTTGAGACGCTTGGCCTTAAGGGAGCATTTCATGAGGTGCAAGGGAAGAGTAACCAGCCACAATCCAAGACACCCACCCCCGATCATACTGAGAGGCTTCCTCTGGCTGCCGCGTTTCTCCCTAAATAAAATCAGCTTTTCTATGGACTCGGTAGCTAAAACACAGTGAGACATATTTGCCGAGGAAGAAATTGAAAAAAACTTTAACAAAACAGTCGAGGAAAAGTTTGATGTACCTTAAAAACTTAGTTGTAAATGAAACCCATGTTTTTAGTGAATACATTTTTATTTCAGTTTTACTGCTTCTTTTCAGTCAACTACAATCTGTTCTTGCTCCTCTGGAACCCTGGCAAAAGTTACAAAACTCAGCTTTATCGAGTATTTTTCTTTCTCATTTATTCATATTCTGTGCAGGAAATTAACCCCCCAACCAAGGCGCTCTTAAATGAACAGGTTTTGTTCCAATGTTTCAAAAGTCCTCATTTTCATTTCACAAATTCCAATCCCAGTTCAAAAATATAGTGTTTGTTGGTTTTAGCTTCCACTACTTTTCCACACTGATTTATCTCAGTTCTATGTTCGATGTATCCGGATTCAATTTCATTGGGGAATAATTTTGGAATTTGGTTGTTCACTACCAGACGTATTGTTTGTCAATGTGAACTAGTCCTACTGTTGAACATATTTCGTTATTCATTTTTTTGACTAGTGCTTACTGTCAGGATATGGGCTAGATTAAAAAGAACACATTCAACTAAGTGATGATAAAGTTTATATTCAGAGAACTCCACACTTGGAGTTCTTATGGTATCAGTCAGTATCCTATCCTGTTCGGTAGTTCAACCCGTCGTCAGTGCCCTCTCTACTTCCCGAATTCTCTCTACGAATCCCGGCAGACTACCTGACTGGAGTCCTGCCACGAATCATACATATTGTATGCGTCTTTTAGTTGTTTTCTCATCTACTGCATCCCAATTCACTTCATATAGCCATGAACTTATCTCTTTATGTCGGTTTAACCCGATTTCGGTTTGGCTGTTGCGTTTTGCTTTCAGAATCAATGGACCAGAGTGCAAAACTACTATCGTGAGATCAAAGCCATGCCCGAAGTAACAACGGAAGATATGCATCAGTTGTTGGAGCAGCATTCGATGCATCACACGAACGAGTTCAACGTGTCATGGGCGGTTTTCGAGTTATACACAAAATATGTGGAACCGTGTCATGATGCGGTGAGTCATGCTGTTTCTCAGAGGTCCTTGTTTGTTTTCATGTGTATGTGTACATTTACACTTTACCTTGTATCGATTACCACTGGATTGTTTCCATGACACTTAGCTTTGCTCCTTTCTTTCCAGATCGTCACTCAGCTACAACAAGAAGCTCTGAAACAAGCCTATACTTTCAAATCGGATCAGACTGTGTTCAGCGCAGACCCCGATTGCCCACACGATGGACTTGGTCGACCTCTGTGGAATCCACTCCAAGTGATCGACACGCTGAATGATGTGAAAAAGTGTATGGATCAAGCTCAGTCACGCAGCTGGTTCAGTCGTGACAGTCCGAGTACGGTAACCTCTAGCACGGCAAACGGAATCCCTCCATGCTCCTCACCCCGACTCGTGTCACGAATGCCAACCACACTGGCACATCGCGCTCATCCACTGCACTCCGCGGCCGCGACGACGAGTGCCCATCTACTCCCCGGCTCTCTCTGTTCCGCCTACGGGGGACACACCCATCCGGGCATGATGATGATGATGATGAATATGAATAACTTTAACGGTGGTGGCGGCAGCGGTGCACCCGGTTTGGGTACTACTACTACTGCTCCGCAATCCTCTGCATTGACCAATACTGAGTACCCGGATACACTTCGATCGTTCAATACACTAACAACAGAGTTTGCGGCTGATGAAGCAAGTCGTGATACACACAAACAACCTCATCCGGTAGCAATGATGCAACCCTATCATCATCTTCATCATCATCATTGTTATCAGGTGTACGAGTCCCACGGAACACTAACAGACGCGACAAGTTTTGTCCATCCATCTTCGGGGATTGAGTGTTCTGCTGCTCTGCTGCCCTCATCCACGCCTGTCATGAGTTCCGACCCCGGGGGTGAAATGAATCGACCCCAAGACGCTCCAGTTGGAACACATTGTCTCACCAAGCCTGTTCACATACCACCCCCTAACTAAGAGATGATTATTTCATTCATGTCATTCCTACTGGTCTCCGTTGAGAATCACGGAAGTGAAAGCCAATATACGAATTACATCCTTCAGTGCATCATGTTCTCACCGATTCTGTTAGATAATGTATACATACTCACATGAAGGGCTGGATCTAGTCCTGATCATTGTTTCCATATATTTTTGTACAAATCTTCACACTCCTTTTCCAACATATCCTTTGCTCCTCACTTCCTTCCCTATTGTCGTCCCTTTACGTTTGACTTATCACAGATTTTTCTCTATTTCCGGTTGAATTTAAAAGAGCGCCTCAGTTAGCCCATCTCTTGCCTTTGACTCATTCCGAGTACATCCTCTGTGTGTGTGTGTGTGTGTGTGCGTGCGAAATTCTCCGTGTATGCACAAGTGGTCACAATGCATAGGTTCCATCGATGCACCGCGAATCATCCTTTCTCATCCAAATCCATTTCATCCTAACCGTATTTGTGGCCGTTTGTTTTCTCTTGTCCTACTCCTGTTTTGCTCCGTTCAGTTCTTTTATCACTCTGCATGGCTGACCTCCTCATCTCAGTGCATTTATCTCGGTCTCTCTCTCTCACTCTCTGTTCCTCACCCGGTACGCGAATTATCTGACCGTTTGACGCAGTTTCAATCGTCACAGCACATTCTTCCTCTCCCTGTATATGTATGCGGTGTGGTCCCCAATGAATTAGTGTGAATGAAATGACGGGGAAGAGGATGGGGGTTGGGTGGGGTGGAGATGAATCTGATTCTATCTGGGTTTTTTCCTCACTCCCTCTGCCCACCCCGTTACCTCATATTTGTCCTCTCCCTCTCTCTCTCACACACACACATATCCTGTTACCGTTCTACTCGATCTCGGATCTGTTCTATGATCCCCGGTTTTGTTTTTGTGCGAGCATGTGTGACCACAATTGCATATTCAAACGTACACTCACATAGTTAGCTCACTTCATCCTCCGTTTACTCATATCAGCATTGTTCTAGCGTTCTTGTTATTCCCTACCTTTCCTGTACCTGAACTGCTCTATCGGATTCAATTTCGAGTCCCACCCGAAACTTCACCATCATTATCCTCGGTCCTGTCAACAATAATACTACCACTAAACAGAACTAAACTATACCGGGTCCTCGTTCAATCCACATGACCGGTATTCAAATCAAATGATGCAATCTATTCCTTTGGTCATCATTGAACACCATGTGACCTGCCACGGCAGTTCTCTCTTGTTTGTACCTCCAGTCCCCCATCATATCTAGTTAGCCTCCGGGTACTTTGTTTCCTCTCCGTACATCCAACCACGCACCGCTCAGACTAAAATTGCATAAATCATTTTGGTGAATCGATTTCGCCCCAAATTGGGTGAGCACACTGTGAACACAATCGTTTTTCCGTTGCTCTTGTTGACTCTCTTGCCCTCATTCCTGGCTCGTTTTTGTTCCCTGTGCGTCTTTCTGTTAATTGTTTGTTGTTGTTGTTGCTGCTGTTGTTTTTCTTACACCCCGTTCCCGATCTATGTACTGAGCGAGAAACTTTACTGGATTGAAACCATGGTGTTCATCTAGACAGGCTGTAAAAATAATCCAAAGTATCTTCTATCTGATTTGGGCTTTGTTTACGATAGTTCGGGCACTAACAACACAACAAAAATAACAGCAAAAAATGATAGGATCAGGGGTACAGAAGAGAATGACGTGAAGAGCAAACACTTACAGGGGATCAAGAGAACAAGAGTAACAACGGATTTCTTTTACCGTACATTGTTCGATGTTTGTGTGTGTGCTCGTTTATTATTTTTGTGGGACACGGGATTTATACGGACAGGTCGTACAGCATTTGCACCAATGACTTCTGTTCTGGGTCATATCTCCCACCGACAACAAACTTCATCCCTTGAGTTCCAGCTAAGATGATGTGCACCGATGGAAGCCATTACTGAACATTACTTCGTCATACTCTTCAAAACGTGATCAAGCCATCGTAGGTGGTGTAGAGCGATTACCTCTTACTTAGAGGACAACTATCTGCACCCAAAACATGACGATGTACCTCACAATTGCTTACCCAATGTTCCCACCAGACACAAGCAATGCTTCGAGGGAATCGCTGGTTGCGTACAGAAAAACGATTATCATCTTCCGCACGGAGTGGTCATATCTGGTAACCGTAAAGCAGAGCACAACGGAGAGCGGCGCTGTACATCTTTCTTTGAAGGGACACTCGGATATCATGTTGGCGTCACAGGTTGGGAAAAGCCGCTTTAGCCTGCACTATTCGTGATGTGATCTCCCCAACACAGAACCCGGCCCCGATCAAGCTTCTGAGGTACTTAAAGTTATCCGCTCCCAGCTGATCACCACAGAGAGTGATGGCAGACAAGATTCCGTCAGTCTTGAACAAACATATTGAACTTGGACGATGCAAAGCACATGTCGAACCTGGATACCTCGATCGCCATGCCGTTCAAAGCGTGTTGGACTCTCTATATATTGTCACCTAACAAGGCGATGTCATCGGCATATTCCAAGTCAAGTACTCTTCTCCGGGAGGAGTTCAACTCCACTGTTTATTAGATCAAACAAAGCATCCTGTAGCATTTCTTGAAGAGAAATGGGGATTCAGGGCAGCCTTGACAACCTCCATTGGCGTTCAAAGCTGGCCATAGGCTCTAGCCCGACCCGAAGAATGATGAACAACTCATCGAGGATCGTCACACACGTCTTGGATACTCCATCTCTAAAAATACAGTTCCCTATCGCGGTCTAATAATAGAAGCAGAAGACTGCAAATGTGTCTCAGAACACAATGATCGTTGATCACTGAAAAACCTAACGGTGCTCTCCCAGCTTTTTTAGCATGATCGGTGCATCCACGACCGTCGCGAACCCCACCCTGCCTCTCGCGGGTTTGCTCTTCATGCATATTGTACAATATACGGAAAATGACAAACTATTAGGATTAGACCTATACTCTTATGATTGATGCAGTTACTGCGCGCAACCTGATAAAAATGTGCACGACAATCCATCACTCCTCTCCCACGAGGAGGTTACCTGTTCAGTGTTCCAAATTTTGGATAACAGAGCAACCGATTCGCCATTCAGTTTTATTACACTGGGAGGGACAGTTTACCGGTCAAAAAAACTCCGCTAGATGGATGTAGGAGCGGTGTACTAGGGTCTTCCTCTCAACGGTGAGAGAAGTCTTTGCACTTCATTGGAAAGCTACCACCCACCCAAGCTGAGCAACCCCCAGCCAATAAAGTGCTGTTCCGTCCACGTCCCGCTTGTCTCATTAGATGCATAAGGCTAAGGTCTGATCCCAAAAAGCGGACCGATAATCAACACACCAGCGAACAACACACTGCACCNAAACGCGAAGGCCTTGCGTGACAAGTCTCTAGAAGCTCCCACACGGGTGCTTCGTTCACACTCTCGCGTTAGATTTACACCCCGCTGCCTAGCGGGTCAGACGTTTGAGTCAAAGGCTCCGGTTAGGGTTCCCAAAGAAAAACCCCTTCGTCAGTGTGGGCAACCGCGAAGTATGCGGTGCCCTAAAGTCTTAGGTATCCATTTAGAAAACCATCTTTCCCATCTGTCTAGTACTTCTTCTGAATCCCGTATATTCCCGGGTGCCTCCTGTTTGCGTCACCCATGGGATATCAATCAGTGTTCAACTGATGAGGCCAACCACTCAGGCTATCAGATTTTTAAGACCAAAATCTCGTTCTGAATTAGCCGCATTTAATGTCCGCACACTCTACCAGATCGCTCAACAAGCTGTCTTAACTAGAACCCTCGAAACCTTTAATTTGGATGTATGCTATTTCTCCGAAACATCCATACAAGACCCTACTTCAGTCAGCTCCCTCCGTTCTTCAGATTCAGCTTCATCCTCGCGCTTCACTCTCCGTGTGGAAGGCAATTCGGCATCCGAAGCTCGCGTTGTTTCTGGTTTCGGGATTGCGCTAAGTGCCAAGGCTGAGCCATTGCTTCTGACTGGACTCCAGTCAGTAGCCGATTGTGCGTTGTACGTCCCAACGGTTCAGTTCGAGTCAATAGCTACAGAACGAAGCGTCGATGCTTATTCGTCGTATCCGTGTATGCACCGTCTGATTGCAGTTCCCCAGAAATGAAGGATGTATTCTATAAGGACCTCTCTCAACTGCTCCATAGTGCTGGGTCAACGGACATCGTGGTAGTCGCTGGAGACTTTAATGCTCAAGTGAGTTCCCTGGATGAACCAGAAAGGCTACTTGGTGATTCACATGCAATCCCAGCCAACAGGACTGACAACGGAGAACGCCTACTCCAACTTTGTGCTGATCACGGACTGTTTCTGTCAAGCATGAACTTCTCGCACAAAAACAGCACCGCCTTACATGGAGACCGCCAACTTCTGCAGAGCGCTAGACTCAAATCGACCACATCGCCATCAGCCACCGCTGGAGAGGATCCATTGAAGACTGTCGCTCCTACTGGTCAACACCCGTAGACACGGACCATGCTTTGCTACGAGTGAGATTCTCCTTACGCCTGATAAACAACCGCAGAAAAGCCACCGCAAACGGATGCCCAGAATATAGTATCACCGACAGTTGCAAATCGGCTTTCGAAGCGGAACGAGCAGATCGCCTCTCAGCTCAACCATCAACCGGAGGACTCAGTGAACACTGGACGACAATCAAGGAAGCGATCCAAACGTCGATCAAAACAACGGCAAATTATGGAGCAGGATGAAATAAAAAAGATGGATTTCCTCGACTTCGGTTACCTCGCTGGACGCTTGCAGAGCCATTCCTTCGGATTCAAAATACGACAAAGCGCACAAATCCCTTGAAGACCAGCTCATCAAGACTCTGAGGAATGACCGCGAGAAGTGGTGGGTAAGGAAGTGCAGAGAGACGAAGAAGGCTACGGTTATCCGTAATAGTCGCATTCTTTTTCGTTTCATTAGGAGTACAGGTCCAAGCAAAGTAGGCGTA